GTGTGGTCGTGGTCTACTGGTGGGGGTGGACAGCGCCGAGAGCCTGTGCAGAGAGGCTGGGCCTTTGGTCCGACCCCCTTTGCTAGTGCAGGAATGTCTGTCTTTGTTATTATGGTTGTTAAGTTGTTTTGTTTCGAAATAATTTCAGACTTACAAAAGAGTTGCAAAAATAGTACAAAGAAGCCTTGTATGCCCTTCAATCAGACATTCCTAATATTAAAGTATCGCCTTGTTTGCTCTCTCATATTTTTTTCTGAAGTGTTTGAAAGTTGCAGAAGCGCCGCTCCTTTACCCATAAACATGTCACTGTGTATCCCCTGAAATAACCCCAGGGCCATATCAGAATCAGGAAATTCAGGATTTTGTCATTGCAAAAATGACCTTCAGAGCCAAAGAGTCTCCTGGTTCGAGAGCCTCCAGGACCGCCTGGGGCATGCGCAGTGGCTGTGCGTGTTCTGTACGACGGTTCTTCAGCTGTTCTTCGTCTTCCCTGATTTTGGTTCCTGCTGTTGAATGTCCTTCAGTTTGGGCTTCGTGGATTAGATTCAGAGTATTCCTTTTTGGCAGGGAAGAGTATGGGAGTTTGTCATTGCAAGCCTGTAATAACTTTATACTCACTTTTTCCACTTACAACAAAAAGGCTGAGGCATGATAAAAGGAGACCGAGCGGTAGCCAGAGGTGGGAGCCCAACCACCTGTCACGATGGAGGGTGACGGGGCATCTGGGGGAAGTCACCGGGCAAACGAGGACCACCAAGGCTCTTGGGAGGTGGCTGGGGACCGTGGCAAGAGCAGCGTGGGCACGGGGACTGGAGATGGAAGCCAGGCTGCGGGAGGCTGTGAGGCAGGGCGGGGCACTGATTAAGCCCCTGGACTCTGCAGCCAGACCTTGGATTTGAACCCTGGCTCTGCTGCCTACCCACCGTGTCATTTAACTTGTCTATGACTCAGTTTTCTCAACTGTGAAATGGAGACAATAGTAGTCTCTTTCTCAAGGCCTTGTTGCGAGGGTTAGCTCAGCGTGGATAAAGCCCTGGGAGAACGTTACTCTGTCGTGACCAGGTGAAGAAGGCTGCGGGCCAGTTTTTCATAGGGTGCTTGGAGAAGGGACTGCAGGTGGAGGGTCAGGAGGCCTTCTCAAAAGCATACCTAGAGAGAAGAGGTAGGCGGGGCATTCTGGCGAAGGGAGCGCCCCACCGAGGGAGATCAGCGTTGCGGGCAATGTGGAGGCGGAGGAAAGGTGTCACCGCAGAGGGAGGCTCTGCTGGAGAGGAGTCAGGACTTACTTCTTGGCTGCCCCGCCCCTTCCAGCTCTCCGTCCCCTCCCTGTCCCCAACCTTTTTTAAGTCACCCCCAGAGGCGGGAGCCCCTGCCCACCAGCCCTTTATCCTTGTCCCCAGGCACCTGGCGCCCCCGCAGATCAGTCGTGTTGGCGAGCTGGGGAGCAGAGGAGTTTGGGCTCATTGGCTCCACAGAATTCACAGAGGTGAGTGAGCCTCCAGGGTGGGCGGTCCAGGGGATCCCCGGGGCGGGGCAGTGCCAGGCTGACGTCACCCCTGCCCCGCAGGAGTTCTTCAGCAAGCTGCAGGAGCGCACCGTGGCCTACATCAACGTGGACATCGCAGTGTTTGGTACGGGGGCGACTGGGCTGACCGAAGAGGAAGGAAATAAAGGGGCTGGGGCCCTGATAGAATCTTATTCTGACCCTCCCACAGCCAATGCCACGCTGAGGGCTCAGGGAACGCCCCCGATCCAAAGCGTCATCTTCTCTGCAGCCAAACAGGTGGAAGGGGTGGGGTGGGGCCGGGCCAGGCCTGAGGCTGGGGGCGGGACTTGCAGGACCCGCCCCACTGTGCCTAGGCTGGAGACTAGGGTGGGCGGGGCAGAGGTTCCCTTAATTATTGGGTTTGGGGAGGGGCCAGGCCTGAGACTGGACTCCCCTCTGGTCAGATTCCTGCAGCAGGCCCTGGAGGCCTCAGCATCTACGACAACTGGATCCGGTATTTCAACCGTAGCAGCTCTGTGTATGGCCTGGTCCCCAGGTGAGCCCGGGGCCAGAACCGGGGCTCCTGGTGGGCGGGCTGGCCCAGCAGCCTCTACCCCATCTTCCTTCCCGCAGCTTGGGCTCTCTGGGTGCTGGCAGCGACTACGCACCCTTCATTCACTTCCTGGGCATCTCCTCCATGGACATCGCCTACACCTATGACCGGGTGAGCGGCACCCCTCCGCCTCCCAGCCCCACAGCTTGCTCTCCCAGTCAGCCCCTCCTCCTTCAGGCTGCCGTAGTGCAGCCTGAATCCGGCTCCATCACTCAGTTGCTGTGCTACCTCAGCCAAGTTTCCTAACTTCTTTGAGAATCTGCTTATGCTCATCTAATTTATCCAGTTTAATATAGCCAGGTAGATCGTTGGTTAGAGCACCGGCCACGTAGGCCAAGGTTGCAGGTTCAATCCCTGGTCAAGGCACATGCCAGAAGCAACCAATGACTGCATATAAATGGAACAACAAATCAAAGTTTCTCCCTCCCTCTCTCTCTAAATCAATAAAATTTTTAAAAACATTTTTACTTATTTTTAGATAGAGAGCGAGGGAGAAAGAGGGAGAGAAACATCAATATGTGGTTGCCTCTCATGCACCCCTCACTGGGCACCTGGCCCGCAACCCAGGCAGGTGCCCTGACAGGGAATCGAACCAGCGACGCTTTGGTTTGCAGGCTGGCACTCAATTCACTGAGCCACACCAGCCAGGGCTCAATAAATAAAATTTAAATAGATACTGTTGATTGTAAGATGCACCATTACGACTTGCACAAACCCACGGCCAGCTAGTCGTAGGGTAACACTGACTGTAGGAGGCATTATGACTCCAGGGACCCTAAAATGTGAAAAGCTGCTTATCTCAGAATAGATTAAATAACAGTACAAAACAGGGACAAGTCACACTGTGAGAGTGAAATGAGGTAAGAGATGTAGAGTGCCCACCCAGTTCTCCAAAATCAGTTTCTCCCCTCCATGGCCGCACTGCTCCTGGGTAGCGAAGCTGGATTTAAACCCTAACTCCAAAGCCCCAGGCTCTTCTTTATGAGAAATGGGAAACTGGCACCTACCCCAGCTCTGCCATTTATTAGCTGTGTGACATCAGGCAAGTTACTTAACCTCTCTGAGCATCAGTTTCTTCCTCTGCAAAGCGAGAACTCTAAAACCTACCTCATAGATTGGGCAGTGACTTGATAACGTCCCCATGTTGTCACTCACTGTAGGTACATCTCCTCCCTCTTCCCATCTCAAGCCTGTCACCTCTGGACTTTTGTTTCCCCAGAGCAAGACCTCTGCCCGCATCTACCCCACCTACCACACAGCCTTCGACACCTTTGGTTACGTGGACACGTTTGTGGACCCTGGTGAGGAGAGGTGCAAGGGCATCCTGAGGCTGGAGGAAGGTGGGCTGAAGACTGAGCCCTGGCCTTGTCACCCTCCCTGCAGGCTTCAGCAGCCATCAGGCTGTGGCCCAGACGGCGGGGAACGTGCTTCTTCGGCTCAGTGACAGCCTTTTCCTGCCTCTCAACATCAGTGACTACAGCGAGACCCTCAGAAGCTTCCTGCAGGCTGCCCAGCAGGACCTCGGGGCGCTGCTGGAACAGCACAGTATCAGCCTGGGTACGGAGGCCCCCTGACCTTGAGGCCCCGGGAAACCTGCACTCCCAGGGCTAAGATGCTGGCTGTGCCCCACAGAGCCTCTGGTAACCGCAGTGGAGAAGTTCGAGGAGGCAGCAGTGGCGCTGGGTCAACGCATATCAGCACTGCAGAAGGGCACGTTCAAGTGAGCAAGGGCTGCGAGCAGGGGTCTGGGAGGGCGGCATCCGGGGCAGGATGCAGGCTGGCAGCTGGGCTGCTGGCTCCAGTGACCAACAGGCCCTGTCACCTCCAGCCCCCTGCAGGTCCGGATGCTCAATGACCAGCTGATGCTCTTGGAACGGACCTTCCTGAACCCTCGAGCCTTCCCAGAGGAACGCTACTACAGGTGAGCCTGTCCTGAAGTTCTTGGGAGATGCAGTGGGTGAGGCTGGGCCCTGGGCCTCCTCCTCCTTCATAAGGAGGGAGAACATCAGCGTTTCAATGGCATTTAGGGGAATCGGGCTCAGAGGAGGGGATGCAAATCAGTCAAAGTCACCTGGGACTAGAACCTACACCTGCTGCCACCACTGCTGTAACTGCCCTAGCTTTTAGAGGCAGTGGGAGGTGCCTAGTTTTATACAGCTGAGCCTGTTCCAGACTGAAGCTCCCATGTCTGACCCCCAAATGACCCTGATTCTTCTTCATTTCTCCTGTTAGCCATGTGCTGTGGGCACCTCGCACCGGCTCCGTAGCCACATTCCCAGGGCTAGCCAATGCCTATTCCACGGCCATGAACACAGGCGCAGGATCTGAAGCCTGGGCTGAGGTGCAGAGGCAGCTCAGCATTGTGGTGGCAGCCCTGGAGGGTGCGGCAGCCACCCTGAGGCCTGTGGCTGACCTCTGACCCTGACCCTCCTTCCTCGGCTCCCCCACCACCCTTTGTCCTATCCCTCTCCCACTCCGGTTTTCTCTGGGTGTGTCCCTCTTTCCCAGTGCCAAGAGAGGGCACAACCACAGGATGCCCTCAAGCTTCTGAGGCAACAGCTCAGGGTCCCAGCAGTTGTGGTCACCTGAGGGGAGTGACAAGCCCTGGATGAAAGTCTCCCTCAGTCTGGCTCTTAATTGGCAGAAGGTGGAGAACAGGAGGTGGGGACGGTGGGGACAGGAAAACACACAATGGCTCTTGGTGGGAGGAGGGGGAGGGAAGGACACAGAAGGCCAACCTTAGATGCCAGATCAGAGTCCACCAGGGCCACCCCTCAGGGACCAGCAGGGAAAGTGAGGCCCAGGGTGAATAGGGCCTTGCCCACCCTGAGTTCCTCCACCCTCACAACCCTAGCATTTCTCAACCCCTCCCTGCCCTTCCCCAAATAAATCAAGCCTAGCTATTATCCCTACAAGTCCCTTTTATTGTGTGGGATGAAGGGAGAAGAAACCCAAGCGCGCACACCCAATCCAGGACTCCTCATGCCCGAGACTTGGATTTGTCCCCACCCTCATCTTCCTCCTCTGCCATGACTACCTCCTCCAGGGTCCGTCCTCCCAGCTTGTTGCCCACCAGCACTCTGCAGGCCCCAGTGGGTGGCAGCCCTCCCTCTGTGTAGCGGCCCCGCAGGAACACGACCCTCTCCTGTCCATCCAAGGGTAGTCCATGGGCCTGGCACAGGTCCTGGGCCTCTTTGGGCCCATCCAGTGCCAGCAGGTGGACCAGGAACCCCAGGGGTACGGTCTGGCCCTTGGGGGTGCTCAGCGCAGAAGCGAGGCGGGCCAGGGCTCTGCGGCGGGCAAGGCCCACGTGGCACTGCACTGCACAGCTCTGCAGGTATGGCAGGGCCCGCAGCAGGCGGAACAGGCGGGCGGCGTTGCCTTCTCGGAAGGCTGCATCCACAGCCAGGGCCGTGCGCAGGGCTGGGCAGGAACGCAGGGCAGTGGGCAGCTGCAGAACCTCGTTAAGGGCCTCCACCGAGCCTGCAAGGGCGGGAAACCGGGGTGAGCTAGGGCAGGATGAAGCCTTCCAGGATCAGACCCACCTTCCATGCCATCCTCTTGTGCTCCCCCCCAACCCCCAATCTGCGCACCCACCAGCTCCAGTCCTCCACCGAACCCCTCCCCTGGGTCAAGACCACCTTCACTCTCTTTTCCTCTTAGCCCTTCCTGTGCCTTATCTGAATGAGTTCCAGAGGTTGCCTCTCATACTAAAGTGAGGTAGCGTTTATGGGTGAGGGAAACAGGCCTGATAGTTTAACGACTTCCCTGAGACTCCCCTACATTTCATATGCAGTAGAAACCAATCGGGTGAAATCCAGGTTTTCTGACTGGAGCGCAGCCCCTCCTCCTTTGCCCTATCTGCCCTGCAGGTTATGGCGCAGGCTCAGCCACCCTCCCCTGTCTGCCTGGCAAGGCTTTTTCTTCCAGGAGATACTGACCCTGCTTCCCTTCCAGAAGAATCAGACACTGGAACCTTTGGCCACTTTTGTAAACTGACGCTCCCGACCCATTACTGGGTTGTGAAGTCACCAGAATTTTATTACATTTAAACAGAACTTATTAGAATGCACCACACACCCACAAAGGATTTTAAGTCTTGAAACTTATGTCTCAGATGTATTCGTAGGTATAGTGTTCTTGGATGCTTTACAACGCTGACTAAAGGTTTAAAAACTTTGAAAATTACTATCTAGGCCAACTTTCCTTTTCCAACCCCATCCCCTCCACGTTTTTTAGGAGAAAACTGACACACATGAGAAGGCACCGGCCTGAAGGTCCACGGTGGGGCGGTGCTTTGACATGAGACCCATTTAAGAGGCAGGGGCGGGGAGAGGGCGGAACAGATGAGCCTTTAAAGCTTCTCTTTCTTTCTCGGCATCCATTGTCCGCATACCCGGCCCCCGTGTTCTGTCCTGTTGCTGGGACCCCTACTCACCCAGGTTATACAGCAGAAAGAGGCCCTGGAAGGCGGCTTGGCGGGGGTGCGTCCCGGGGCCCCGCGCGTAGCAGCGCCGCAGCGAACCAAAGCCCTCCTGCACCTGGGCCTGCAGCAGCACCGGGTCCACCGACCCATACGCTGCATCGGGCCCGAGACGCGCCACCACGGCCAGCAGCGCGGCCAGCGCCGCCTCCAGTACCACCGCCGCCTCGGCGTCACCGGCGCTCTGCAGGGCCAGGTCTAGCCGCACAGCGCGCAACCGGTCTGCCACGAAGCTGGCCACCTCCGCACGGGATGCGTCTGCGCGCTCGGCCACCTCACCGGCCAAATAGCGGACGGTGGCCAGCAGCACGGACGGGGGACGGAGCTGGCTGGGCTGGGGTCGGGCCTTGCCGGCGGCCGGCCGGCTGTACTCCTTCACAGCGCGCTGCGGGTCAGCGCGGAGCCGGTCCCCGCGGCACCCCGGCGCCACCTCGAAGCGATGCAGGCGGCCCTCCTTTTCTCGTTGCGAGCGCTCGGCGGCGGGGCACATGTCCGGGCATGTGCCCACCGGCAGCTCGCAGCCGGGCATGGGTGGGCTGGGGGAAGAGGATGGGAGCTCAGCATCCCGAGGACGGCGGCGGCCCCTCGTCCCATTTTGCAGGGTACGGGGGGAACACGCCGAGACGGGAAGAAGCTCGGAGAAGACGGGCGGGTATAAGGACCCCGCTACCCGTCCGGCAACCGCCCTCCTCTCACCGAGTCCTCGGGCCTCCCACAAAGCCTCCGCAAGCAGGTCTCCCGAAATGCACTGCGTTGTAGTTTTAGGCCGTTACCTTCCTGCGCGCTGAGTTCCCGGCAACCGTTCCCAGAGTGCGCTGCGCCACTGAATACGTCACTCCCATGATACCCCGGTTTGTAGTTCTTCCTGCAGTCGGTGGCTGGGCTGGGGCGGGGCAGGCAGGAGCGGAGCCACGCCTTCCCAGCGCACTTCTGAGTCAGTGTTTGGTTTCGGGCTTCGGGTTCCTCTGCATCAGCCCCGTGGACTAATAAACTGGTCCAGTCGGCCTTACTGTCATTCTCCACTGTCTCCCTGGAGACTGTTCTCCCTGTTTTCTAGATGGGGGGTCCGCAAAGTTTCCGAAAAAGGCCAGATAGTAAATATTTTAGGACTTTCCGTGGCAACTACATACTCAACTCTGCAATTGTTCCACTCTGCTGGTGTAGTGAGAAAGCAACCACAGACAACACCAAACAAATGCGCCTGGTTGTGTCCCCATAAAATTGTATTTTTAGATACTTAAATTTCCTATCATTTTCACCTGCCACAGAACATTATTCTTTTGATTTTTTCAATTATTAAAAAATGCAAGAACCATTCTAGCTCACGGGCCTTACAAGTAAAGGTAGTGGGTGAGATTTGGCTGCAGGCTGCAATTTGCAGATCCCCGGTTCTAGAAGGGTAAATGGGCAGTTTAGTGACCAGAGCTACTGCTCACACATCAAGACAGAGACAGGCAGCATCAGAAGTGAGTCCCTGATTCCACGCGGGTGGGTGTGGTCAGGGAACCAAGAAGTCATCATTTTTCTCATTCTTGGCCCAATTACATAAAGAAATGGCCTCTGGAGTTACAAGAGCAGAGATAGGGCCAGGCCCCGGGAAGAGGGGGAAGAGGTGGCCGGCAGTGCTAGAGCTTGAGTCCCAGGGAAGGGTCCAGTCCCTCTCAGGGTGGCACTTGGGACAGGTGCATGTGCAGGATTTCCTCTGCCCGCTTTAGGTACTCAGCTGCCTTCTTCTTCACACCTTCCCGGCGGGCAGGCATTGGGTCATCTGTGGAGAGAAATGGCTCAGCTGAGGTACTGGGGTTCAGAACCCTGGTCTAGCCCCTTATAGTTCACAAGGCATCAATGTGTGTCTTTCCCCACCCCTGGGGGTCAGACCTATTCTCCCCACTTTACAAACAACAAAACTGAGACCACAAGAGGTAGAGAAACTGCCCAAGGGTATACAGCTGCTTGGTGAGGAACAATTCTCACCCTTGATTTGCTTTTCCTCACTTTCTCTTCCCCTTGCCGCACCATCCAGACACCCAAGCCTGACCCTCCTCCCTCCAGTCCCCCTCACCAGGAACTCCCTGAAGCAGGATGTGCACGCCGTCCCGGTAGCCCTGCAGCGCTTCGGGGTAGGCGCCTGCCTTCTCATCCCGCAGGGCCTGGGTGATGAGTTCTGTGGCTTGGCTCAGATAGGCAGGGGTGGGCCCTCCTTCCTCAGCTTCTTTCTCCTCCTGGCCTCCTGGTTCCCAGGGCTCCTGGTCCTGCCTCTCAGACTCTGCCTCCATTGCTGCCAGCTCACCCACATGGGTAGGACTGGGGCCTGCACCTTCTGCAACCAGACATGGAGGACTCAGACCACACTGGCCCTCGCTCTCCTGGGGCCTGCTCCCCCCCTCCCGCAACCTCCTGACCTCCCTTGCCCATTAGGGCACCAACCTGTCTCAAGTACAGGGGAACAGTGCCTGAGCAATCCAGAAGCCAAGCACATAGCAAACTAGCCACGATCTATTTGATTAGTGGAGTTCATATGCTTCTGAAATAGCACCTACCTTACAAACTCCTCCTTTAGGTACCTGTTAACATTAGTTTGCAAGCCTGAGTCACTGGTCCTATTGCCCTCCTCACTACAATTGATCTGTCAATCCAAGAATTCCCTCCATAAAGTTTAACTGAAGGACGCTAGACTAACAATGCCAGGTGAAGTGTAGAAATATCCCAAGCCTTGGAATTTCAGGGCTTTTTCTGAGGTCTCACAATTTCAGCTGAGGCTCCACGTGTGCAAACACTGGGCAGTAGGTATCCCCACATTCCAGAGAAAGGGCTCATTTCATCCCCCAGGACTGGCAAAGAGGTGGTTGAACATCCCCTCTGCAGCTTATATGAAAGACTAGAGATCTGATGAATCTGTGACAAAAAGGCCTTCGAAGGGAAGGTGCAGGAGCAGGAAGGGCCGTGGTGCACCACTTGCCTGGAGACGGAAGTGTGACCATCTCCCCAACACCATCCAAGTGACCCCATGGACCTGCAGCCCTCCCTGTGTCGCTAATGGCGCAGGAAGCGGAAGAGTTCTTGGGACGCCTTCACATTCCAAGGCTTGGTGTATGTGGTGGAGAGGTAGCGCCGCTCTTGTTTGAGTGTTCTGATGGCGAGAGGCTGGCTGCAGGTGCCCACGAGTGGGGTGAGAAGATGAGGCAGAATCTGAGCAAACTGCACTTCCCGGCTTTGAGAGGTCAAGGATTGGTGAGTTTTCCCAAGGGCTGAGGGACTGGCTTATTCCATCCCCCGTGGCTTCCATCCTCCTGGGAGCAGCCTCTGAGGAGTCCTGCCAGGCTCCTGCCTACACATCTGGCTACCGGGCACCCCAGGTCGGGGCAAGGCACAGTACTGGGACAGCTGCCTCTCCGAGCTGGGTACACCTGGCCCAGTGACACCAGCCCTGCCCTTCCCCTCGGGTTCCCTCTTCCTCCTCCCCAGCCCTGGGGTGGGCCAGAGTAGGAAGGGGAGGGCACATAATTAGAAGAGCAAAAGAACCCTCCTCATCCCCTTGGTCACATGACCAGGGGTCTGGCCACCAGTCAGGCGGGAGTAGGCTGGGGTGGGAGAGGCTGGAAACTGGGTGAGAGACCGAGGTCCTGATTTGGGTCAGGCTGAGGGTGACAGAGCTCAAATGCCTGAGACCGATCAGAAAGCTCAGGGTCTCCCAGGAGGTCACCAAGGTGCGAAGAAGAGAAGCCAACAAAATGGGCTTATGAAGACTGTTGAGGAATCCAAAATGACACTGGTTCATGATGACCCTGAAGCGAGAGCAGCCACCTCAGCACCCCAGCTGCAGGAACGGCATGGATCCAGGGAGTGTCACAGTGAAGAGACCCAGCATCTCAGAGCCTGGGACTCTCAGTCCCCTGATCTCAGTTGCCAGCTCAGGACCTAGGCCTCCAGGGGCCCCTTCCACCTTGGTGCCCCCGCTGCTCTCTCAGCCCAGGCCTCCCTCCCCACGACCCTGGTGGACAGGCCTCTCCTGACTTCAGGATCCGCTGCCAGGCCCTGCACCTGGCAGGGACCGCCACCTCAAGCTTGCAGCTCAAACCCTCCCAGAGCAAGGTGACCCCTGCTCATTCCAGAGAATTCTCAGGGAGAAGATGCCCTCATGGGAAGTGGCTTATTCCATCCCGGTGGCTGCACTCCGTATGTGGGCACCCGGCTTGCCAAGCCCCGGCACAGGGTAGAGGCGCCTTCTTCTCACTCTCATCGAGGCTGCCGCCTGCCTGCAGAGGGCACTGTTCTGCATGCCAGCTGGTGGCCCTGCCAGCCTGTCCCGAAGGACCTTCTGCCCAGCCCTCCCTCCGACTGTCCCAGCTTGTTACCTTCCTTGGAGAAGGGGTCGAAGAGGGCAAGCTCAGCCTCGGTGAGGGGGCCTCGGGCAGGGGAACCGGAAGCCTCCTCGGTGCTCCCGCAGGGAAAGAGGAGATCCAGGGCGTCCTGGGCAGGGCTGGAGGGCAGGGGGTCTGCTGAGGAACAGATCAGTGGGGACACTCATGTCTGCCCCCATCACTTCACGGTGTTCAGCATGGAGCTCCCTTTCACTGAATCCTTGCAGCCAACCAGGGGCACAGGCAAGCCCATTCGCAGAGTTTGTGCCCATTTTACAGATTAAGAAACTATAGCCCCGACGCCCTGTGCGGAGCCCCTGGCAGGTCAGTAGCAGCGGAGCTGCCACACGTCCCAAGCTTTTCACTAAGATCACTGAGGCAGGAGTGTGCCCCCCACCCCACCCCACCCCATTCTGGACCCTCCAGCCTTGGCTCCCTCCCCACCCAATGTACCTGGCACCTCCAACTCCTCAAGGCCCCTCTTCTCCGCAGGGAGTGGCTGGGGCAACCAGGACTCATCAGGTGGTGGCTGGGGCTCCTCAGGGGGTGGTGTGGGGATCAGAGGGGGTGGCAAGATGTGCAGGTCCCTGGACACCTGGGAGGGCTGGGTCACCTCTCCACCCTGCAGGAGAGAAAGACCAGCCAGGAGGAGTCACACGGTGCAGGCTGGAGGGCAGGACGGTTTCCCAGGGGCTGGGCAGGGGGACGAGCGGGGACACATACCCGGAAGAACTCCTTGAGTTGGGGGCTGTTGTTGAGCGCAGGGATGTGCACAGTGAAGCGAAGTAAGTCCTCAGCCCCCTTGCGCCGCTCCTCGATGACAGAGGCTTCGAACCTGCCTGCAGTCCCCAAGAAAAGGGGCAGGATGAGAAGCAGAGACTCACAGGGCCTCTGCCTCCCAGGCCATTTTCTTGGTTCTGCCTGAGAGGATAGGAACAGCGCATCGCCCTCCCCACTCTCCCAGCAGCCTTCCTTGACTCTTCCCACGGTGGGGGGTGCTTGTGAGAAGGTACCAATCTCCCCGTTCATCCATTTACCAGATGTTTATTGAATACCTACTATGTGCTAGGCTCACAAGGTGAATGCAACAGAAACAAGGTCTCTGTCCTCAAGGGTATCACATCTTAGATAAGGAGAAGCAGGCAACCAACAGAAACAAAGTAATTTCAGATGGCTTTAAGGTAATGAGGAGGAAAGTAAGGCTCAGAGAGGGGCAGTGACTTGCCCAAGGTCACACAGCCAGTAGCCTGCACTTTTTTTACAGCATCGCTGCTCTGTCCTAGGTATGCAGAGTCACCTCACTCTGGCCTAGTTCCCATGCTGCTTCAGGGAGCAGCCTGCTGCGCTCCCCACTGCCTGCCCCCCCCCCCCCAGCTGCCTTCAGCCACTGCCGAAGAACATCTCCTGTGAGTCTAGGGAACCGAGGACAGACCAGCCCTGTCCAACAGAAACATGTTATTTATAACTTCCTAGTAGCCACATTAAAAAAGTAAAATGAAATGGGTTAATTTCAATAATATTTTCTATGTAACCCAATATATTCAAATTAGTCTCATTGAACCATATCATCAACACACACATTGGTGAGATAGTTTACATTCTTTCTTCCGTGTGTTTGTGAACCAAACAGCACGCCCCATCTTCAGCGCTCCCCCGCCGCACGTGCCTCGTCTCAGGGCTGCTGTTTTGAACAGGGCAGGCCTACAGGGAATCGGGGCCTGTGGGCAGGAATTCTGGTTCTGCCACTTCCGA